CCCAAAAAAAAAGAAGCATTGCAGCAGCAGCAGCCTCAGCTCAAGCACACTGTTAGTTCAGACAATCACATCAGAAGTTTGAGGCTCTCTTTTTTAATCTGGCGTAGTGTAAGCACCAGTGAAAAGATGTTGAGAAAGGCTGCAAGGTAACTTGCAAGGGTTGACAGAATGTCTGAAGATGGCCATTTCCCCACCTGCACTGCTATGTGTGCATCATATTTAATCTGACTCTGATTCACACTAAGAGCTTCTAAATCTGTGGCCCATTTGAGTTGACCTGAAAATATTCTGTAACTATTTTTAAGTTTCAATCTTTTACTCTCCATCTGCGAATGAACACAAAAAGTCAATGTTAACTGCCTACAGGTGGCATCAATGCTCTGCACTGTGATCAGCACTGGTGCTGACAGCATGCATAAACACCCAACTTGCACAGCAAGCACACTGCTGGAAGGAAGCAACACATCCCCTCCACCATCAGTTACAACAGTGCCCAACAAAGGAACAATTTGGGAAACAAATCTTCCTCACTGTTTCTGAAGGAAAGAATAGTTCCCCTGCAAGTCTCATGGCAGCTAACATATACTGAAGCGTAATTAATAAGCAGGCCAAAAGAAAAGGCCCAGTGTACTACATCTGGCAAGCCAACCTCAATTTCTGCCATTTCACTGACCTGCCCAGAAAAGTTTCCACCAAAAGCTTAGAGAAATCAGTGTTTGTTAAAACAGTTTAAAAACAGAATACCTAACACGAGAACCCAAACTTCCAAAGGTATGCTAAGAGCAACTCAGCCTAGCCATGGAATGGAAGGGAATACAAGGCGGCACATGAGGATGGGCTGCATGAAACAGATCCAAGCAGCAGAAGAAAACAAAAAGACAAAACAAAAAAGACAAGGAAGGAGTAAAGGTGTTACACACAAAGAGCCAAGCAGGGCGTACTCAGAAATCGGGTCCTCCTGCCACCAGGCTTGAACGTCACTCTCTCAGATGCACAGTTAAACTTCGCACAGCCTGTGAGAAAACAAAAACGGGAAGAACAGAGAAAGGAGAGGAAAAGAGACAGAACACCACTACAAGATGTTAGCAACTTGAGGTTGGAAGGGTGAAATGCATTAACATGGCACACAAGAGTAAGCTTCCAAGAGCAGACCACAGAGTATGCAGACAACATACGGAGTGAAGAGACTCGCCTTCAATACAGCGGACATGAGGCCAAGTTTGCTGTGTTAACCTCCGGTTTATAACCCAGCAATGGGGTTTCCATTGGTAGGAAAGCCAAACGCCAGCAAAAGCGTCTGATTGTAGAAGATACTGCACAACTCTAGATACAAGGAGGTGCAAGTAGCTCCAAAATACTTGAGCAGTTCAACACAAAAATCTCTACGGAAAATTCCTCCCAAAATTCTTTCAGAAAGTCGATTGCTGTTTTCCGTTTGTACTTCTCCAAATTCAGCAGTAATATTTGTTTCATTTGATGCATTTAATCAGTCTATGGTAAAGCTTTTCAAAAAGATGATAACGCATAAAAAAACTGAAGCAACTACTTTCATAGAAGCAAACGAATCAAACTATCATCTCCTGAGCAACTGACAAGGAAAAACGTCCTCCCTCCAAAATAGATCAGGGCTGAGTGAGAGATGACCTGACACTACCTAAGCAGTCCACAACTTGAGTAAAATGAACATTTTATTCCTACACCATTCCATCCTCCTATGCTGCTGTCCAGGATAACTCCTTAACTCCTTAATTCTTCTCCTTTTATTGCCAAAAAATTTTCAACAGAAACAGCCACAGCAGTTTCAAATTCAAGAAAGAGTGAGTCTTCTGAAATTTTCCTACCATTTCAATTACCTATTATCAACAAAGCTATTCTGCCTCATCCTTAATCTCACATTTGAACCCACCTTTCCTCTACCTCTCTCCTTTGTTTCCTCACCCTTTCAGCCAACACCACCTTCTCTCAGGTCAGAAGAATATTGCTTGCCACCACCACACTGCATTCTCTTGTGTTCTCCTTGGTGTTTTCATTAGACAGGGCCACATGCTATATATTATTTTAACGTTCCTGGCACCTTCTGTTTATGTGAGAAGCTAGAAATGTAGTTGCAAAACATTCACCCTTTTCAGTTTGCATGCATTGGGGTCGAATTCCCTGTCTACTTTATGACGTGTATTAAACATCAAGTGGCATCAAGTAGATTCTTTCACCAGCAGTAAAGGTGCAAGACTTGACACTAAATCCATCTGAAGTCTTACCTTGGCCTGGCGCAGAAAGGCTTGGTACTGAAAGGGCACCATCACTGGTAAAGGCAGAGTAGAGGTTTTCGCTGGAAGGTGAAGGTTTGAGGGGCTGTAACAAATGGTTCTGTCCAGCCTCTGGCACACTACCAGGAGGATGAAGAGTCTGTTGTGGGGGCAAGACTGATGGTGCACTCTGAGCTGACAAATTGCCTGGAGAAGGAATGAAGGCAAAACAATGAACCTTTCAGCTTCCCCGTGTCATTTTCTGAGCTTTTTTTCAGTGCACCCAATGGAGAACAGCAAAACGTATGACTGAGTTATTATGCTAGCAATGGAGAAAAGTGCAGGGGTGGGGAAGTATATTCATCCTCTGGACTTGACAATTCCAGGTGAGAGAGAGGCAGGGGAAGGACTACACCAGCACATTAGAAAGTATTAAGACTAAAATAATTTTTCTTTACTTCAATCTTAAGGGAACTCACTGTCACATGCTCACACAGAGTTCCTCTATCATATAATAAACCAGAAGTGAGCACAGTGCAACTGGATACAGACCCTCATACACGACATGGAGCTGCCAAAGTCAGAGTGTAAAACAAATATTTCCGCTTACGGGCAGGATTTGAGTGACATCTACAGATAGATAACCCATGACACCCAGGTCAGTCAGACACAGAACTATTTTTCAATTTATTATAAAAATTGTCTTAATGAGAAATGAAGCCTTGATAACTGAAATCGTCTTAATTGGCGAAGTACAAAGAACTGTCACTCCCTAAAACTTCACTACTTTAACATCCATCAGTTGTGACTTTGATTTCTGGCAATACCATGCTTAAGTGCTCTTAAGTACGAAAAATCATTTTTGAAGATGGATGAAGATACCACTCCCATTCTATAAAACCATTTTCAGGAGAAAACAAGAGTAGTTGATGCCCCATTCCTGGAGACTTTTGAGGCGAGGCTGGATCAGGCCCTGGGCAACCTGATTCAGCTGTGGCGTCCCTGTTCATCGCAGGGGAGTTGGACTAGATGGCCTTTAAAGGTCTCTTCCAACTCTAAGGATTCTATGATTTTATGGGGAAAAAAAAATTCCCTTTGTAAATTTATACTTTTCACTCTGGATTGATTCCCAGTCCTCTTATAGCCCTATCACTAATCTCAAAAAGACAAACCAAACCAAAACAAAACAAACAAAACCAAAACAAAACAACCCATACCCACACTTTTAAACTGCTCTTACAAAACAATGTAATATAGTTTAAGTAAATTGCAAAAGGCAAGACTATCAACTAGCAAAAGCAACTTAAATGACTTTGTAGTCCAGGCAGTGAAGGAGCTTGGAGTAGGGAGTGCAGGAGAGCAAGTTGTAGCAGAAGAATCGTATCAGTCTGGCAGTGACTGGTAGCACTTTGTCAGTTCTATCTTATTTATTAAAAAAAAAAGTGAGAAAGCCTTACCTGACAGCTGTGGACTCTTATTTCCCTGGGAGCTGCTACGACTGGATTTGCTGCTTTTTCCTTTCGTGGGTCGTCTCCTCCTTCCTGAAAGGGGTGCAGCAGGGGGAATAATGACTGCAGGTGGGACCTTTCCTAGTTTTGTGTAGAGTGATTCAATCTCCTGCTTCTGGCGACTCTGCAGCTCCTGGATCTCTTTAAGGTGCCTAACAAGTTGCAAGAGCATCACTTACAAAACTGTACGCACATAACTGTAGTACATGTAACAATCCCTCCCCTCCAGTCAAGCTTGACCAGCTTGTTTGGTCAAAATCCCATAAACATTTAAGAGCAGATGAAATAAATCCCTTCCACAAGCAATCACTGAATACATATGGCAAAATGCTCGTTTTTTTCCATTCTGTCTAAAAATGACGAGGAATTCCAACACAAAGTTTCCAGCGTTGTAATCTCAAAACCAGAATAAACATATGCATAAACAAGAACACACAGCAAACAAACCAATCAAATCATTCATCATAAATGCTATAGGAATAGCTAGAACACTGTTTTATAGCATCATAAATGCTATAGGAATAGCTAGAACACAGGCATTGGAGGCTTCAACATTCATACTGAAGCATTTTTTTCAGAGCAGTTGCCAGCTGTCCTAAAAAGTCAGTTTTCAATATAAGTTCAATATTAAGTCACATTCTTTGACTTCTCAATTTTCTTCTAAATCAACAGGGATTCTCCAGGAAGTGGAGAACACCAGAATCACTTACTAGAAATGCAAAGTTGACTGCCATTTTCAAGACAGACAACAATATTTCCACTATCTACTAAATTTCAGAGATATGCCTAAACTTCTGTACATCTACATAGATTTATCCACAGCGTGGCAATCTGTATTTGAACACACACACTGAGATTACAGATTAGAAAATTAACATACCAAGTGCACATACCTGTTGTTTGGGATCATTATGTATTACTTTTCCACTAAATAATTTTATTTCCCATGTAAACACTGACAGTGGGTCCTGACACTTTTCCTTTGTGAAAAGTGAAGTCCAGAGGAAATGAAATGAAATCCATATTAAGCCTTTGCTACACATTTCACACATGCACAAGGGAAGGAAAAAGCCTTACTTCTCCCGTAATCGACGGAGTTCCAATTTCAAGTCTTCATCTTCAATATCCGACTCGTTGTCACTGCTCATGTAGGAAGAATTGAACGAGTTGCTAAGACTCTGAACAGGGAGGCTGATCTTTGACGCTGTGGCCTGGAGGGAGTCTGGACTCGCTGAGCCATCATCCAGATCCTTAGCCATTCCACTCAAGAAAGCAGCCTCTGGTTCAGAGGACGGACCGTTCATATGTGGGGACTGCCTCGACTCCAACTCTTTCCTAGGGGCTGCAGCTGAAGAAGCAACTTGTTCCAAGTCCACAGAGAGAGGGAGAGTCATTGGCTCTCTCTCTGCACAGGTGACCTCATCCTGAGTCTTTGACACTGAGAAGCGCCCCACTTGATCTGTTGTTGTTGTTACCTGGAAGCGTCCAACCTTAGTAGGCTGACCATCATCTACTGGCAACTGCAGCACAGGAACTGGCTGAGGAATGCCATGTGCCACAGCCTCGCTTTTCCGCCCTCCAGCCTGCTTTACCAGGGTGCTCTCTGGACTGCTCCCAGAAAGAGGGGAGGAATCAGAGGAGGTGGTTTCAAATTGCAGCGGCTTAGTCTCAGGTTTGTCACTCTCTTTCAGCACATCATCCACTGCCACAGATACCTACAACAGAAATGCAATCATACAGACCTTCTAAGTTCTTCCTTAACATGATGCACGTATTTACATTACATAGCAGAATCATATGAGGGGGGAAAACAACTAGTTGCTCACTAGTTGCTTGGTGAGGATTTTCTATGAACATCCAAATCAGTTTAACATGGAATCATAGAATGATTTGTGTTGGAAGGGACCTTTAAGATCATCCTGTTCCAACCCCCCTCTTATGGGCAGGAACACCTCCCTCTAGACCAGGTTGCTCAAAGCCCCATCCAGGCTGGCCTTGAATGCTTCCTTAGAGTGGGGGATCCACAACCTCTCTGGGCAACCAGTTCCAGTGTTTCATCACTCTCCCAGAAAAGAATTTCTTCCTGATATGTAGTCTAAATCCTCTCTCTTCCAGTTTAAAGCCCTTTCTCCTCATCCTATCACTACCTGCCCTTATCAAAACTCCCTCCCAGCTTTCCTGTAGACCCCTTCAGGTCCTGGAAGGCTGCTATAAGGTCCCCCCAGAGCCTACCTGAAACCGTCCCATCTTAAGAACGCCAGCTCCTGTTGTTGTGGAAGCCATACCACTGCTTTCTCCACCATACGATGCTGAAGCTAAAAAAGACCAAACAAATAAAGGAGAATGGGATTGAGAAGAAAGTTAGCATGCCTTTGGATTTACGGAACCTGATCTCCTTTCTCAGCTCTGCCATGTATAATACCAAACTAAAATTTTAAAATTGTTTTTCTACAAAGTTCTGTTGTGCAGTAGACTTGCCAGAAATGTACTTTTATATTGTGATAAAAAAGTACACTTTGATTTCAAGCAAGGATGTGAAGTAGCCAAAAATAAAAAACAAATGAAATTTATCTAAGCAATAGCATATTTCAATTCCACACCCATGGTGACTACGTGAATTTCAAATGCTGGAGGCAATTTCTTGATAACAGAAAAGTGGTACATTTAAGAAACGGTATAAACATTTACTCAGGGCTGCATGAAGCCTTCAGAGCTGGATCCTTAGATGGTAGCTCCTGATTTTATTATTGTATGCACTAGCAGTATAAGGTTACAAAGCTGAAAAATAACATTCTATTTTTAAACTAATTCTGTTGGACAGCTTGTTGGGTTTATTCAGCAACTTTTCACTTTGCTTACTTTTACTACCTAAAATTAACAGGCAAAGGAACTCATTTTCTAATAGGAAAAGGAGCTTAATGACGTAGTTATCTATCAAGCACACCAGAAAGGGACTATTTTATTTTTCTGTTGGCTTTATTAGCTTTTAAAGTTTTGTCATTGCACTTGCAATCTAAATGTTGTTTGCTAAATAAATTAGAAATAATTTTAGTAGCAAATTAACAGTTTCTTTTAAAAACAAGCATTTTTTAAATTGCAATGAGTAAGGGAATACTGATTGTTAAGTCTCAGGCTATTCTTGAAGTGTGGGTTGTTTGGTTGCACCCCTACTCCTGCAGCCCTAACAATTAAACTCATTTAGTATTGAAAGCCATTTATCATTCAAATTTCAGTTTCAGTTACCCCAGCACTGTTCAGAAAACAGTCCTTTTTTCTTACTGTTTCTTTAAGTTTGGCCCCCACCCTTTTTTATCTAAATAGAAATTAAATACTCCAATTAAGGAGAGATATCCTAAATACAGAATGCAGCATGACAACACAAAATGGAAAGGTTTTACAATTGCTATCAAGAATATCACAAGAGACAGGAAGCAGTCCTTTCAAATTATGAATTTGTACCTTAGAAGCATAATGAAGATTCTTTACAAGGTTTAATTTATCATTTCAGTCAGCTCTACATACAGAGTTACTGTAATATGCATGTTCCATTCCCATCTCTTGGTCTACAGTTGAAAATGTCAGTTTAGTTACTAAAAACTGCAACAATTCCTAAGGAATTGTCACTGTATGACTTATTAGAAGAGGTTATATCCTTACAAGTTGCTAACCTGTTTCAGTTTTGCATTAAATCTCTGTGCTAAGAAATCATCCGAAATAACAACGGCTGTCTTACCATCTTTTAGAGGCTGTGCTGCTGTGGACACCAGACCAGTAACTGCTGTAGATGCTACTGAGGGCACAGACTAGAAGTTCAGGAGGGAAATAAAATAAAAATAATCAGAATCAGCAGTTTGATTCAACTCCAAGTAATCTACCATAGTGCATGTAACAGGATTTTTTAATTCCATCAGGTCTAACAAACGATCCATTACAGGACTAACAGAAGATCTCTTCATCTCCAAAGCAAGCAACATCAGCAACAGATTTTGCATGCCTTGCAACACAAGACTACCAGCAGAACCTCCCCTTTTACTCTGCAGAAGTAATGCACAAATAGTCACTTGGAGATCAATGTTAATCACTATCATCCTTTTCTATCATCTTTTTATATCAATATTTCAATAGACTCTTAAGAATTGAAACCTACGCTTTAAACATCTCTCCTAAATTACGACTGACTTCCCACATAGTGCTAGTTTAGCACCTTCTTTTCCCTTGTTTCATAATCACTTCCCATTTTAGTTCCGTGATATTAATGGCTTTGCCAAAAAAGATGGGTTAAGAATTAATCCCAGAACTAGCCTCAGGATATACAGTATCTATTGCAACCTACATACTTCCTCCATTTCGCTTGGCTCTGTCCCACACACTGTAAGATGACTCTCTGTTTTTAATTAGAAGCCTACGGACTCGTGCAGTGATATTAAAGGCAGTGACTTAAGTGCATGAACTTGAGAAAACACTGGTTACTTGAGACTACTATTTGTCAGTATTGCAAACGTACACAGGCAGGAGCTGATGTCACTGGAACGGTCTCTGGACTAAGGGTTCTCCTCAGCTTAGCATCCAGATCTTCCAGTGGCTGCTGGGACTGATGAGAGAGGAAACAGTAAACAGCTGCCCCAGCTCAAGAAAAATACACACATTTCTAAAACTACAGCCGCATTTAATACTAAAATTTAAAGCAGTCAGCACTGTTTTTATATTTCTGTCTTTCCCTTGCTACGTGCTTACATTTAACATGTGCAACACAGGAAGGCTGAAAACAATTTAAGCAACACATTTGGATAAGCAGAAAAGAAACATTAACTGAAACATCCATTTTTCACAAAGTTTGCATTCCCACCCTTGAGAATTGTGTAAAGACAGTCTAAGTCTCCAGGTTCTACAGTCTTTGGTCTACAAGGATTACACAAACTTGTTATGACTAAGAAAACTCACAAAAAAAAAAAAAGAGAGAAACATGCCCATACTTTCAAAAACTGAGGAACAGATTATCCAAAAACTGGTCTTGGGATGATATGCAGTTGGACTGCTTGCTATGAAACTTGTACAAAGGAAAAAATGTTGCTTAATGAGCTACTGACAGAACCAGAAAGGAAGACAAATCCATCTATTCTAAGACAAGCCAATAATTTTCCAGTCCGTATTATACGACAGCAGCAAAGGCTCTTAGCAGTTATCTAGATTCGATCCAATCAATCTTCTCCCATTTTGTCTCACACACCAAGGCAGGTTTTAGAGTTCAAATGAGAGGTGAAATTAGGTAAGCTGTTTGCAAGTGACAAACCAGAGAGCTGTATTTTGGCCTTTTCTATACCACAAATCCTCATAGAAACATCCACAGTAAACAGAAGAAAGCCGTTAGCAGTAGTGCTGTAGGATGAACCACACCAGTGGTTAACGCTGCGTTGAGTTTGGGGGAAAATGATTACCAAGATAACCAGTTCTAAGCGATGACCTGAACTAGTACGAACTTAACGTGACTCATTTTAATTGTTTCCAGATCCATTTGCTACCACTGTTGGTGATTACAGATGAATTATCACCAAATTGGCATCTCTCCCCTCTTTCAGAAAATCATATTTCAAAAGAACTGGCTGAACAGTATTAAAAAAAAACTACAGGTTCCAGCAGCTGGAGGAAAAGATTCTGCTTGTTAACACTATCTCACAACTCCGCATAAGACAACTAGCTTCTTGCTCAGTTTGGAGCCAGAACATACCCATTCCTAATGAATCATGTTCAGCCTACCAGAAAGCAGCAAGTAAAAGCAAATACAGTGGCACTCTCCTTTCCATGATACAAGTAATGAGCAATACTCCAACTCTGTTTTCGCGCATGCAGAGCACAAATTTCTGCCTTTTCACATCGCATAATACTTCCTAAATAATGGATGTATTCTTATCACTTTCAAAGATTTAAACATACTTCTTAGAAAAAAGAAAACCTAGGAGCAGCTCTGAATACAAAGGCCATCTGCAAGAGCTCACTGAGTCTGGATGTATTACTATTACTAACTTGCATTTGCTCCATTACAAGGACTGAGAAGGTAGTAGAATAAGAACAGTCAAGACGAGATGCCAACTTTCAGCATCTTGTAATTCTGGCTTATTAGACTGTTTCCATTCTAACCTCTATTCTAGATCCTATGCAAACTTGTCTGAGAGATTCCCTAGAAAAATGACATCTATTGGGGTACCCAGAGAAATCACTGAATAAACGCAGCTTCTGCTCAGGCAGTGTTGGAGGATAAAAAACTGTAAAATGGAAAAAGGGTCTATTAATGCCATAACCAAAATAAAAGCTGCTACCACGCCTTGCTGCTCAACTCCTTTCATGCCTTTGGAACCAGGTATTACTACATTCCTCCCATTTGAGAGACAAAAGGAAATCCTGCTCAAAAAGAATCTTTGAAGATTAGCATCCAAATATATATAATTCTATTTTTACAGTTTTAGCTGTAGAATTAATGGAAGTCATGACAGCTCATTAAGCAAACTTGCCTTAGCAGAGTTTAAATTATTTACAATTTTCTTCCATTATCCCTTTGTGTAACAGTCAATTTAAATCCTTTCAGACTGAAAAGTTCTCACAGGCTATTGTAAAGCCCAACAAAGGAACAGCTTGCAAAGAATAAAACGACCTTTTACAGGTCATTTTAAATGTCAGCACTTCCATAAGTGAAACTTGAATTCAAGAGCACTGTTTCAAGAGATGAGAGCGAGACTGTTACCAGAGTGTCAAGAAGCAGAACTTTATCAAGGTTAGCTCACAGTCAGCACTAAAATTCTGTGGTCAGAAATCCAAAAGAAGTCCAGCCAGGAAGCTAGTTAGTACAAGTCTTCATACTGTAGCTATTATATTGGCAGTGCTTTAAAATTATAGTTAAGTCTTAAATGAATAATTCCTTTCTACGAAAAGACAGTAAAAATGTAGATTTAGACGTATTCCAAGTGTATTTTCCGCAGACCAAAGCCACAGATGGAAGAGGTGAATATTATGAAAAGTACACATACACAGGTAGTGTCACTTTCAAAAGAAAATTACTCTGAGCCTCATGTAGGCACCTTTTCAACCATAATGTCTATACAGGTTTGAATAAAAAAAAAAAAACTAAGGCCAATTCTATCCCAAGGACATTTGAATATTATTCTAAAAAATATATCTTTATGTATCTAATATAATTCCTTCAGAAGCACCATACTTTCATCTCAAAAATCTCATGGGTTTTGCCTAGTTATTTTTTCAGCTGTTCTTGGTATATTGAACCATAATGTTTCCATCTTACATTTCACTGCATAGCATTTAGAAGATCCATAAAACAATTTTGTCTCATTTTTCTTCTACATTTGCTCTGTTTCTTAAAAAAATCGAAGTGAAGGCAGTTTTAACCTCTATGATCTTGAACTGATCACCTGTCCAACTCACATATAGAACATGCAAGCTAACTGCTGCACACACAACAGAAATTGAACAAGGTGAAGCCACTGTTATATTTCAACTCCTGTTTAGGATTAGGAGCATCACAGACCTTTTACAAAACTGAAAATCTGTCGAAATTAGAGTCTCGTAGTAACCACAGGAAAAAAATTAACCAAGAACTCTGAAAGCCAGTAGATCTGTATTAATGTTAACAATTAATTGTGGTATGTACCGCTTCGATGAAGAGCTACTTTGCTCCTGTAACTTTTCATTGTATGAAGAAAACTCACCTGTGTTACATTTTTACAAAAACCTCTACTGTTCAGATTGAAATACTGAATAACTTCAAGCCTGAATTACTGTTCCTGTATTTCAGACATTGAGTAGAGCAGCCCAAAGGACAAGCTAAATCTACAGTGCTGAAGCAACTCTGCCCACGGCTACGTTTACACACAAGGGGTTACTATGCCAAAAGACAAGAAAAACAGACATTAATAACATGCAATGGAGAGTTTAATCGAAACATGCCCTTTGAAAGAAAAAGAGGCAGATAAAATCTGCTGACTCGTGTAGCACCTGAGTTAGTGAAGGTCCTGGAAAAGGTGGCAGCGGCTCACTGGACGGAGTGCCAGCTGGAAGTTCAGAACCTACTGGTAGCACCTATGGACAACCAAGAGGAAACGCGAGTCCATCAGACACAGAACAACCGAAGGATCAGATACAAAGTTATGGTCAATCATGCCCTATGACAGAGGCCTCTGTGTTTTTTCTGTGGAGACTTCCTTCCTGGAAAGTCAGCAGAGAATCTTTGTGGAGTTCAGCAACAATGAAAGTAGGTGGCTGTTTGTCAGTTGTTTTGTTGCTGTTCTGTGGAGGCTTTGTTTTGCTTCTTTTGTTTTAGTTGTTTAGTTTTTTGCTTTTATTGTTTGGATCCAGATCGAGTAGTCACAATTTCCATTTTAAGGAAGATGCTCTGTCTATGAGCATAGCAACTCAGTTACTTTCTTTTCAAGTCTGCAAGAAATGCCACAGCAATATTTCTTAAATAAATTAAAAAAAAATAATAATAAAAAAGCTAAATTTCCAAGAGGCTTCATTTATTAAAAAGTGCAAGAGTGCACTCAACCTCCTCACAACAGATCTATTTTAATGGCTCATTAACAACACCAGGCCATGTGCCTCTGGCAAACAGCTCCAAGAAATGGATACTTGAACAGAGAAAGTCATGCCTGAAGACGTCTCCACTTGTTGAAAATGGTATTTATCAACTTCTTACACCAATTTCCAGAGCTGTTCTGGTTTTTTCATTGTTGGTTCTTTTTGTTTGTTTGTTTTTTGTTTTTAATTAACCTGAAGGGTGTTGCGCACCCACAGAAGATGACTAGGCCATGCAATCAGATAGGGGCAGGTCATCCAGGTTATGTGGTAGGAGTTAGAGAAACTGGAAAGGTTAGAATGAGGGATCAAAGCCTCCCAGCAAGGTCAGACAGTACATTCCAGTTAGTTATTTCCATTGTTAGGGAAGTGGGAACTCCTAGGAATTAAGTGACCCATTACACAATTTGCAAGTCTTATTCTCAGCTGTAACCTTGAGGCTTGACCACAACTCCTGAAGTTTCAGAAACATAGGACAGTCCTATGAGTTACAGCATTAGTCACCTGGCTTCCCTCTATGACAGTGAACACCATTGGATGTGTGTAACTGGCCCAAAATCCTACTGTGGTCTTCAAAAAGCAGAACCAGTTCTATCAATGTTATCACAGCTTAACTAATAGTTCAGATTGCAGTAATAACTGACCAGAGAAGATACTGGACACAATTATCTCTTGTTCCCAAAATGTTGCGGCAGGAACTAAGCCAAGTTGCATTACTGCAGTTTTTCTGTGTGCTGAGATCATATACACGGACATTACTGGTTCTGATGCATGGTGACTTACTAAGCTGTGGTAAATTCATCCTTTAGTTTATAAATAAGAGGCAAAATACACTTTAAATACATTCATAATACAAGTCAAAAGTATTCAGGTTAACAAGTTGACTGCAAACAAAACATCTCTTTCTCCTACAGTGCAGTAAACCCCAGAAAAATAAAGCATTAAACTCTAGAAGCTCAAAAATGACACAAAGTGAAAATGAAATTCGAAAAAACACAGAAGAATTTAGAAGCAAAGAATTCAAAGAGCAGATATTTTTCCCTACAACAGACAGCAAAAATCCCAAACATTTATTCCATTTAAATCCAAGCACTTGTAATTATAGATTTCCACTTTGCAAGTTTCTACCTGCTCCAATTATTCCTAAATCATTAGCTAGTTTTTACAAGTTTCTGATCCTTCTTTAATTCTCAGCTCTATTTCAATATAAACGAATGGCCCTGCATCTAAGTTTCTTCCCCAGCTTCCTTGACACACTTTCCTGCTGAAGTGGCAGAAATTGTTTACTTTGCAACTGAATACAATCTAAAATGGAAAGAAGTGCCTCACTGGGCTCAAAAAGTAACTGCTGAGTCCAAGTTGTTGAATTACTTACAATTCTAGTGCTGCGCACTATGTGAGAGGAAAAAATATCATTTGCAATATCTGCTGGGTGTTTGAATGAAAAAAAAACAGTAAAGAATCTCCAGAATCTTTGCTGCATTCATTCCCTTTACCTCTCCATCTTTTTCTTCCCCATTAACTTTACTTCAATGTGGTCCTGTCAGAGGTGGATTTAGAAGTCAATGCATAACACACGAGAGAGATTTATACCCTCAGTGGCATCAGTATGTTTTACTTGACTTTCAGCGAAGAAAACTCAAAGTAGGGAAACAATATGAATACAGCTGAGAATAGCATAGCTGAGAACAAAACAAATGGGAAGGAATTCCTAGAAAACTATAAGAACAAGTGAAATAAGGAGAAATCTGCAGAGGCTGTGGAAATCCTCAAAAGTTATTGCTATAACAGTTATGACATTCCCTCAGGCCTCAAGCTTCACGTTAGCCTAACACGTTTTTCCAATTAGCTGTAACCTCCTCATTGTATGTCAAATTGATTAAAATATTCTATCCGTTCTCGTGCTGATCATACCTGGTTTGATTTAAGAAAAGTATCTACACACAGGAATGGTACCATAGTTATACCCCATCTATCTCTTTGCTTTTGGGAAAAGGACTGGGAAAGTAACAATGTTAGTCTGGCTCATGGAGGCACATGGTAGAGTTCTGATTCTTGGAAATTCTTAATTTATTCACCCTTGGGCAAGGTAAGAAACCTTAATTTTTATTTTTCCCCATTTGCCTTGCTTCTCTGAACAGAGACACCATGTAATCTGAAGGATTCTTAAAAAATTCAGTTTAGTTCATCCCTACTGTCAAGGAAAGGGCTAATGATAAAAAGCCAAACTGCAATCAAGACTAGTTTGTGAAACATAAAATGATCCTGGCTCATTTTAACAATTATGGATAAAAGGCTATTTTAAGCAAGGCTCCCAAACTTCTATTTTAAAAAACACTAATAAAGACAAGCCACAGTTGCTTCACTCTTTGTAGTTTAGGAGTATGAAAAAGGAACAGCGACACTAGAGAGTTCTCAGACACACAGTATAGAATTGGATGCTCATTTCAGTACGGACCAAAGAAAAACCCTCTTGAAAAAAAAGAAAAAAAAAAAAAAAGAAAACACCCAGAAGATAAACATTTCCTTCCAATATTATAACCAAAGACACCTTTGCCTGAATATTTTTGCTTTAAAAAATAGATTCTGTTCAAGAAGTCTATTGACTTATTCTATAAGACAATTGAATATCCATATAAACATTGCATTTCTTACCGGTACCCTGCTAAGAGGAGGCTTCGAGGGAGAGGTCCCTGGTTTCACTACTGCTGTTGCAACGCTGCTTGGTGCTGAAATATAGCTTACTGGGGTGATCACTTGCCCAGGCGTGGCGACTGGTGTCAGCACTGGCAAGCCAGCTGGTCCAAGAGGCAAACTGCTCGGAGGTATACAAGTGCTAACGGATGTCAGGGGTTTAGTTGGTGCAAGAACAGTGGTTGGGATCCCAGGAATAACAGTAGTTTCCATGATCAGTGACGTCTCCAGAGATACTGATGGATGTGCTGCTCCCACGTTACCATGTTCACTGAAGAGAGACCGTAGCTTTTCTTCCAGGGTCTTTATATCATCAATGCCAGGTGCTTTGGACTGAGCATCAGCGTCAGCCTCCAGACAGTGAATATGAGGTTGATTGGGTAATGGAGCTGGTTGGGGCTGGCTGTGTATCAATGTTTGCTGTACTGCAGGCAAATTAGTAACTGGCTGTGGTAAGACACCAGGTAAGGGAACCTGGGGCAACACAGGTGTTGCACCTGGAATCTGGGATAGGACAGGTGTTGATGTAACTGCTGATGGGATGAGTAAGGGATGTATCACTGGCTGAGTGACCGAACCACACAAACTTGTTGCTACAGAGGATGATAAAGGTGCAGAGATTGGTAGCGATAAGCCAGCTGCACTGGAGGGCTGTGATTTATCTGCGGACTGCCCACTCTCAGGTAGTGATTGTGGAGCACTTACAACTGTTGTTTCTGCCAGACTGGAGACAGAGCCACTACTGGTAAGCTGAGGAAGCTGCAAAGACACATTCTGAGCCTGAGACAGGGCAACAGATGTCTGCGGTGCTGCCAAACTACTTACAATTTGAGGAGTAGATTGAGATGTCACAGCTGGTGCAACAACACCAAGACCAGTGACACCAGGAACCTGGGTAGCAGATAGTGCCAAAGAAGCTGGTGTGCTGATGCTAGGGGTAATGTCTCCAGTTACTGGCTGAGCAGGCTGGGATGTGATAGTTAAGGAGAAAGAAGCAGGGGCGCTCACACTGGAAGCCACACCACCAGACAGCTGCTGCCCGGATTGTGAGGCCGGAGGTGGAGAAACAGAACTTGGCACACTTGCACTTAGTGCAACTCCAACAGCTGCATTTTCTGAAGGCAAAGTAACAGAACTTGGAAGAGAAACACCTGTGCTAGAAGGAACAGATATTGAAGGAGCAGCTACAGATGCAGGAGGTGCACCACTGCCTGCCATGGTAGAAAGCACAGGTGGAAATGGTGGTATTGTTTGATTAAACACTGGAGGAGCTGTACTAGGTCCTTCTGTCATTTGACCATGCCCAATCTCAGAGAAAGCTTGTTGTAAGCTCAGCGATGATGCAGAGTGGGAGAGATTCATTCCAGGACCATGTAGTGGAGATGCAGCAACTGAAAGAACACGAAAAATATCAGTCCATCTTGGAAAGTTCATTACAGTACTACCTCCTATCGATAAACTTAGACAAAGTTAACTTCCTAGCATCATTTAAAAAAAAAAAAAAAAAAAAAAAAGATAAATCCAGGCACACATTGAAAATGTGGAATTAAGGTTTCAAGACTTTTGCAGGCAGGACATCAACATTTTCTCCTGCAAGAATTCTACACAGTATCAGCCAGATTATCATCACTTCTTATCAGCACAGTCATTTCTCTACTTCCAGATACTTAAGGGGTGCTAAGGAGCTTGCCAGTTTGGTAAACTAACTCCAGTTTTGAATAGCATTTCTTAGCCTTCAGAATTTAAGAGTTTAGATAACTTACCAACATCTGAAGTTTCTTTTCCCCCGGGAACAGGAGAGGTGAAAAAGCCCTGTTCTTTTAACCGACTTTCAGGGACAGGGCTGACAATAAACCGTCTTCCCGCAGAATGGACAACCTGGGTAAAGGAGCTAGGAGGAACCCCTAAACAGAAAGAAGTTGGATATTTAGTGATACGTAGCTGCAGCAAAATACATAACCTGCAATATGGAATGTGAACTCCATCATATAAAATAAAAACCTGGCAGCACCCATCCGCTGAAATCGAAAAAGGTAACTGTTGAAAAAAACAAAATCACAAAAGACTTACCTATTCTTTGTGGCATGGAAGATGTAGGATCTGGCTGTTTGAACTCTAATTTCTGTAAAGTAAGATAAAATTTAAAGTTCTATTCTGAAACAGAAACCCACACGATAGTATTAAAACGCTAGCTTACTGAAATGTGGGCATTTAAGTTAAGCAGTGCCATGGACTCAAGCACCATTATCAAAGCAGTGAAATTCTGCCTAGGCAACTGTCAGCTATAGCGTTTTATAGATTGTCAGTTCAGCGACCATCAGTGTAACAAACAGATCTAAGCATCTTCTTCTTAAACACTCCAGCCCATTTCCTTAAATGAATTTCCCACAGATAAGTAAACGGAGGATGGATGTTTTGGAGTAGTTTTTGATAGAAATAAGGCAGAGATTCTGGAAATGTCACCCCTTGTGATTCCCAGCAACCAGCTTGAAAACCTTTGTTTTCTAACTGATGCATCCAATCCTAGTTGCTCACTGAGTAGAGGGCCTGGAGTCCAGTCTCCTGGGATTTAGTGAATAACAAAGGATTAGGGATTTTAGCATCCTGCCTCACAACTTCAAACCCAGGAAGCCCCAGCATTTATGACTATCTGTCTAGTACTCTATTATGAGATTCAGCAGCTTTAAAAGTGTCACAACATGACAAAAAGCAATGGCGCTTTTTGTTATTTAGTTCTCTAAATGAATTTTTTGTTTTCAACCTGATCTGAAGCTCTGCCTGTTAATTTTGTTTTTAAGCTTTGCTATTCTCATGAAAGATTTCAGTTTCTTGCTAGCACTACGCAAAACCATAACACCCAAAACTGAAAAAATGATTAGCTAAGGCCATTCATCTTCTACATACCTGTGACCCTGGAACGAAGCCATCGTCTTTTGTCTGCATACTCTCCAAACCCTGATCACCTTCTGGCTCCACACTTACATCCTCACTCAGCATTTCATCTGCTTTCTCAATGATCTCTCGTACCTGTTCCACGAATGAGTCTCTCTCAGTTGCTAAAATAAACTCATTCTGCACCTGTGAAGAGAACAGAGCAGCAAGATTTTTAATTGATATGAAATATTTCAAAACTCTATATTGAATACTGAGTAACCATAATATAACTTATGTTTGTGTTTGCCCTCCTTCCACTGTTCTTATGCATAAGATAAAGTTCATGACATCCTGGAGAAAAAACATTTGCTTCTGAAATTATCTCCAGCACTGAAATATTTGTCCTACTCTGCTCTTTGCAGTGGAACAACATTCTGTGTCATTTTCATCAGATTGATATTTCAGACTTTCCCAGTGAAACTCAAAATTTGCAACTTCATTTACTACCATAAAAAAGAAAGATGTAAATATAAAAAAATCAAGAATTTTATATTGCAAGATAAATTCTGTGCTACTCTATTTCTACATCATACTGAATTTCTACCCTATGGAGGCTATACATCACTAGTTTCCAGAAGTCTGGCTGCTGCAGTACATAAACACAAGAATTATGTTCCCCAGCTGGTAAGAGAAAGTGTGTTCAGCCTATTTAGTTTCAATATGCTGTATTACTTTGTAAAAATACATCCTGCTGTTTACATTGGAATAAATAAGCTTAAACAAATACACTCAGTATTTATACAACAGTTCTTAGTTTGTCAGCCTAGCCCAGGAGAAAATTACGTCTCCTGATGGGCATAAAGTTCTAGATTAAGTTGTCTAGGTTTGGTTGCATACTTTAAATGATTTGCTTGCACTGTGAAAGCACAGGTCACTTATTTTGTTTGCACTCCTCATCAACTGTCTGTTCTTTTATCAAATACAGTGTTTTATTCCTCCATAGGATCATTTTACATATGAGGAAATGTAAGATGTATACTTTCTGTGACACTTCATTTATTTGACATGTCAATACACGTACATAGCCAAGAACCAAATTCTTCCTCTTCTGTGGTAAAGTCTTCCTGTGTTACTAATTTGATTATTTCTGAAAAAATATGAATCCAGCCATTATTCTGCTGTCTCTCCAAGTTAAAAGATAAATACCACCACACAGGTGCCCAAGTTGGGGAAAAGATAGTGCTTTGTGTCAGGATGAACTTCCAACCCACTTTCCACTCCACTTCAGCAATACCAAAGTGATCTCATTTTTGCTCAGATTGTACCAGCTCAGGAATATAATTTTAAATTAAAAAAAAAAGTGGTGGGAGGTTCTATTCCACACTTCATGGTACTTGCATTTAAACATATCTGTATATGACAAGTTCACTTCTGTTTCCTGACCATTATCTGTTGAATGGAGAGGTTGCTTTGTTTGTTTTCCTTTGAGATGCACTGACCAATTTAGTCAAAAGCAGCAGTCATTCCTGATCTTCAGAAATCAGAAAGAAGTTCCCTCAAGAGGAAATCTTGCTGTTTCAGTTAAGAACAGCAGCAAAATCTCAATGCTTAAGCAGAATTGTAAAGACTTAACAATGTTTTGGTCTTCAAAAAAAAAAAAAAAAAGCAAACTATTTAAGTTGGTGCTTTCAGAAAGCTGTCTGCAGTTTTTCCAAAATATTGACTGTGAAAAAACAAAAGTAGATACAATTGATAAAAAAGACATTTTAGGATAAAAAAATTGACTCAGGTGTTCCCTGTGAACTGAGCATGTAATATTAAGTGTCAATTTTGTATAATACTCTGTGCAGACAGTCTCTAACTGTGCTTACGTACCTATTGAGTGAGTGCAGAAAAAAAGGAGGCAGGCCATGCTACACAAAAGAAAGCAAGTGAGAAAATAAGACTACTTATATTACTACCGTGACTAAGGCCAGATTCAATTTTCCACCTCTGAAATCCATCTTACCATAATTGATGCTATTTCCTCAGGGTTGTCACCATCCAAATCAAATTTGAAAGTAACCATTTTCCGATTGTGTGTCTCTAGCTGGCATTCCACTACCCGGTCACCTTTATTTGAAACCTAAAGCAAAAAAAAAAATAGTTCAAATTAAAAGCATAAAAATGTAATGTTTGTACTTCAAAGTCCACAGAGAAAGACCAACAGTACTGCTCTACGATAAACACATTCTCTTTTTCTAAACTAATAAACAGTACAGCAACATTTTCTGAGGATTTGCCAATTACTCATATGACCAAGCTTACCTTGCCCTCACCTTTCTCTAGGGCTCCAAATGCTCCCTTGTTCCTTTCTAACTTATATGTCACTAGCTTAGCTTTACTAATAAGATTAAAGCAAACATTCAGAAATAGTATGTGTAAACACTGGAGGCCACGCAAGCTAATTCTGCCATCTGAAATATCCTGAAAAACTCTTAACTATGACTTTTGGAACACTAACACGAGAAGCAGAAGAAATACAGTGGACAGACTGCATGCTCAAAGTGGCAACAGTATTAAACAGTCACTTCAAATTAAAACAAAACAAAACCACTCACATTTAGAATTCTCAGTTTCGGCCTAGCAGTCTTCTCATGGCGAGAGCGACTGCGGACAGACCTCCGCATATGACGCTTGGTAGTCCTCCCTTCATGCCTCCCACTAGAAGCTGGAACATTCTCATTGCCATCACTCATTCCTGAAGCAACATCAGAATGTGCACTAAAAATGAAAACAAAACTTTCTATTAGTACTCATGCATTCTATATCTGCAACAATATGGTTTTGCCCTACCGATACCATTCTCTTCAGGATAGGAGTGGACGCCTGTTCATCACAAAGTACGGGAGAAGAATAAACACCGAACATTCTGAGTTGGAAGAGATCCATCAGGATCATTGAATCCTGGCTCCACAGAGCACCACCCAAAATCCAAACCCTATGTCTGAGAGCAGTGTCCAAAAGCTTCTTGAACTCCAGCACTTGGGGCCGTGCCCTCTGCCCTGGGCAGCCCATTCCATGCCCACTGCCCTCTAGTATACCTAACACCCAACCTACCCCTCCCCTGACAAAGCTCCATGCCATTCCCTTGGGTCCTATTGCTGTCACCAGAGGGCAGAGCTAAGTACTGCCCCTCTATTCCCTGTGAGAAGCTGCAGCCACCATGAGCCTCTTCTCCAGGCTGAGAAAACCAACCTGCTGTTCCTCACGTGTCCTTCCCTCCAGACCCATCTCCATTTCCACAGCAGTCCTTTGAACACTCTCTAACAGTTTTATGTCTATTGCATGAAATTAAAATTCGGATTGGTAGATTGGTGAGAAGAAAACCATGCTTACCTATCCATAGAGGAAGCCAAAGGGGTAGACTGAGCAGGCTGCGTTGATGGCAGAGACTCTGAAGGAGCAGTCTGTGAGGCTCCTTGAGTACCCTATGGATAGAAACCTACATCAAGAACTCTAGATAACTCCATTCCTTTCGAAATCACCCATTAGTCTTCAATCATTTCACTCAAATCAGTTATAAAGCTAAAAGCACTACTTTTTTAGAACTTTGAACAGCTAGCTAGCATCTAGAGAGCTTTAATTTACAAGGCTCAAAAGCAAACTGCAGTGAAGCAAATAATCATCCTGAGGAGGGGTGGGGCAGAAAATCAGCCATCCTTCTACAGATGCACGTTGCTACAGTTTGCCATGCAGCCACAGTCTTACTAACAGAATGTGCAAAAGGCAAGCCAATGCAGAACACAAAGACAATTCAAATTCTCCCTAGCAACATCAGTGCTGCAGGGAATGGGCAAAATGAGAGAATCTCAAAGGCTATCGGTAGCAGTTTTTCATTGATATGGCAAAATATTCTACAGTACTAGCAAGAAGTGAAGTGTTAACAGGTTTTTTGCCTGTAAGAGGTACACTCACTTCCCAATAGAACAGCCAGTGGCAACAAGGTCCCCACATTGGCATGACATTCTGCTGTAAGAAAAAGGTTATTTGAAACATTAATTTCCATCTGAAGACAAGCATGGAAGGGATTAGTTCCCCACACACATTCACTGTTGTATAATCTGAAGACTCTAAATGCATTGTTATGTTCAACATAGTTACCTCCACAACTGCCTGCTGCGAGGAGGCTGATGAGGCCTGTTGTGCTAAACTCACTGTAGGCTGGGGCACTTGAACCTGTCCTCCTACGCTGCCCATAGGAACTAAAACGTTCTGCTCCACATACGGCTGCACAACAGGAGCAATATAGCCTGGCTGAGTCATTACATCTGTGGGTAGGGGAGGGGACAGTATGGCAGAAGGAATGCTAACAGAAGCCACGGCAGAGGAAGGTGCAACATTTGAGTCCCCTGGGTACTGAGGTGGCAGCCGAGATGGGAAGCCCTGTAACAGAAACAAGGGAGTCAAGTTAGTGAATGCCAGAGCTGATAAGAAAACAAAACAAAACAAAAAAATACATATATCTGTTTCAGGGGAAACTTCTAACTGCTTTCCTTTCCCTTCTGTACTTATTCAAGTGCTTCTGAAGACCATCTTCACACAGAATAGCTGTTGATTAAGAAACCAAAGCTCAGCTTGCAAGTCACTATGCTTCAACAAGCAAATTCCCGTTCAAAATTTCAAGCCTTAGGCAAAACAATTTTCACCTCCCAACTCTCCCAAGTTACCTATTGGACTTAATATTTTAAGACCTGTGGCTTGAAATGAGTTTGAAGGATTTTTATGCTGAACTGCTCAGAACATATTATACATCTGTTGCTGATTCTCAAGACGAGTAAATACCTTGCATGTCTACTGTCCTCTCATGATGAACCGACCCGGGAACCAAGAAGCATGAATTCCTACATAGTTTCTATTCTGCAGCACTCTACATTGTCTCAGTGACTCTACTTTAGAAGAACAACTATATGCCAAGTCACTATTTTTGTCACTACTCATATTGCTGTGACAATGATTGCACAAAGTAGCCAAAGCAGTCCTTGCCGATCAGTCTAGCATTTCATAACTTGCATCATATACTTACTTCTCGTTCAAGATCCTTGTTGCCCAACTTATTTCCAGAAAATCCAAGTCCACACCTCCCCACGTCCCTTCCCCAAATTGGAATAAAATACTGACATTGCTGAATATGCTGCCACAGATTATCTTTCCCAAACACAACCCATATGAGTTTTTAAATCACAATGTTTTGGGACTTTTTTTTTTTTTTAATTTAATTCAAGTTGGCAGATCTCTTAGATACATAGCTATTGTCCTTTACACAGCAGCTGACAAAAGTCCTGCACTACACTTGTCATTTTAGACAAACTCCACTGCCAAATGAGAGGAAAAAAAAAAAAATCACAAGGTGACTAGAAGACACTTTTTCTCCTCCCTCCTTAAAAAGGACTTTTACCACAAAACAGAATTCATCTCCATGGCCTTGTGGCTCTCTTATGAGAAGTGAGTTGGCCCAGGCACACAGTTCTGAGCTGGTACCTTAGAGGAAGAGGTGAAAGTCGGAGGGGAAGAGCTCTGCTGGCTTGCAACAATACCTGGTAAAGAGCATCTCCAGCAGGAAGTGAAGCATCAGCAGCTTGTCCAATGCTGACTGGCAATCCCATGGACTGGACAGCTGGCTGCAGGAGCTGCGGGAGAACCTGGCTGGGCAACTGAGCCACAGGCTGCATCAGCGTGGGAAGCTGGCTAGGGACAACAGTTGATCCTACAGGGACAGCGGATGTCGCAGCAGATGTTGCCAGCGTGAGCAATGGCTGATTCATGCCGCCTGCCATTGAAATTGGCAGTGACTGGAAACCTGGCTGAGCCACTGACACATGAGGAGCTGCGACGGGCAACTGAGAGACTGAGAACTGGGGGACAATGGAAGTTGGCAAGGGTTGTCCCACGGGCAGAAAGTGAGAACCAATAGGGACTGATGGGGCAACTGAAGGTTGAGGGAGAGAAGGTGCTGCAACAGGTAATTGAGGTTCGCCTTGGATGATCGACACTGGTTGGGAAACAGGAAGCTGGGGAGGTAAAGAAAATAGAGATAGATTTTTCGGTTTTTAAGCAGGGTTGCAGAAAGCAGAATTTTTATGCATTAGTCAAAGAAAGAATTATTCAAGTTATAGCACTCTGTTAAAGTGGGTGGGGAGCACAGTTGGCAGAGTGGCTGGGAAGTTGGCTGGAGTTCCAAAAGGTCCTCACTTCGCAACACTTCCCTTGAAGGACTTCACAGGCTCTTGAAATAGACCCCCACAGAGGGTGAAAGAGCAACATCGGAATACCCTAAAGCACTGACTTGTACACAAACAGAATCCAATTCCCCTCAATTCTGTCCCCAGAGCCAAGCCTGCCTTCTTACAGGAAAGAAGTGCAAACGTTTCCACAAATCTGTCAGCTTTGGGTATGGGGACTAAGGAATGGAGAATGAAAAGCCACTGTGCCAGCATTCAGAGAATGGCAGGGGATATGTCAATTAAAGCCAGCAAATGATGCAACTGGAGAGACAGTTAAGATGAACAAGCAACAAAACAATTTCAAAAACAAAAACAAGGCTCACATGTTCAAGATAGAGATATGAGCCAAAATGAAGTAATACTCAGTAACAGAAGCTTCTTGATCAGGCAGTAAAGGAGAAGAGCTGAGTAAGAGAGATGACAAGAGTGGAAAAGGCAGTCCTTATGGTTCACTACCTAAATATGTGAACATGTGTTTTACACACAATGGTGCAGAAGATGTACATTCTATGGGAAGCAGAGAAATGACAAGTTCCTGAAAACGCATTCATAGTAATCCATTCATCAATATGCTTCACGATACTTTGACTGTTTAAAGACCTTAGAGGATGGAAGTGCTATCCTTCCCTCAAACAAATTACTCATGACTGCCATGTGTGAAAGAAAGTGTTTCCAATACATATTTTCCAGCAAAATTGACAGTTGCAGTATCCTGAGAATACTACTATCTGGATGAATGTTTTGGAACCATTAGAAAAGATGACAAAAGTGAAAGTAGCAGCATATTGAATTTGCCAGGTGTGAGGTATGCTGTACTGATAAGAAAAATATGGCTTACCTGTGTCCCTGCTGCTGCCTGAGGCATTGGCATAACCTGTGAAGTCTGAGTTTGAGAGACAGTTTGTGTGGGAGTGGCACCACTAGAAACTGATGGCTGCTGCAGCTGGTATTGTCCGGGTTGTTGAGAAGAAGCTGGCTGCTGGGCATTCTACAGTAGGGAAAAGATGCAGAAGCTATTTGTAACACCCCACAGAGGAAGTTTTAAAAGCCTATCTATTTAAGTTTTGACTTTTATTCCCTCCTAAGTGATATTAGTGGATCTTCTGAACATACTGAGTGAATTAATCTTTAGTAATTACTTCTTAGTATTAGTAACACAGCTCCACTATCAGCACCAAGTATTGCAACAGGATTTTAGCTTCAACAGTGAGAACAAGAATACAGATTCCACATAGGGACTTCAGGCAATTAAGAGAAGAGGACGCTGCAGAAGATACTATTTCAAGTTGGAAGAGCTCATCAGAACGGGGTCTGCCTGTCTACACAATCGACAATCTAACTCTCAGATCCTGACATGTCTTTCCTTGAATGGCACCTCTCATGCAAAGTCAGGTTGGGCTAGGAAGACAGTCACATGAGAAGCAGCATGAACATGATCCTAAAAATAAATTTCAATAAGGTAATCTTGTAGCATGTTAGACTATGAGAGAACCAGAGGATTCCTCTTTTATCCAAAACTATGGATTGAAGAGTGGACAGGGAAAGCTCTTTAAGAAGTCATCAAATTTCTCTGCTGAAAATATTTTACGCCCAAGTTTAAAAAATGATCGTACCTGCTGAGTGTGTTGGGCAGGCTGAGACGGTACCGATGTACTACTTGAGGCTGACTGGCCTTGTACTTGTGTCTATAGGAAAAAAAAGACCAAGGGTCAGCTTTAAAAGAAAAATAAAAAACCACGCGGCTCTGCAGCAGGCAGTTAAAATAATTTCTGCCTGGAGTGATCTGTTTCTAATCGTTTCTAGCCGTTCTTTTTAGACTAGCAGTTTATTTGGCCAAATTCCACTACAAAAACCAGAACAAAGTAGTGCAAGCTGGAAAAGCACCAAAATCCATTTTAAGTCCTTCAAAAAAGCAAAGTTTTTGCATTCCCAATGCCCCTCAAAATGACACAGACCAGCCTACCAGCTTCTTCCTCTACTGATGATGCGTTAAGAACAGGATGCCTTGGTATGTATGGTAACTGGAAATACAGGCATTAAAATTTACCTTTACAAGTGTTCTGAACAGTTAAGTGAAGAGGATAAAATAAGCTAGAAAAAAATAAAGCTGATTATAAAGATCAAAAATATACATACCAATAACAAAACACTCAATACATATAAACTGTTTCTTTAGAGAGGCTTATCAAAATCCTAATTAAAAATCATTTCCAGACCAGCTATCAGCCAAGGATAGATATAGAGGAATCTGGGGCCATGTTCTAGCTAAGACAGAAATCCGAATGAATAAGCAACAAAAAAAAAAAAAAAATGGATGAGTGGCATACAAATGAATGTGAAAGATGCAAAAGAAAATGGAATGGATTTTCACCACTGTTTTTGTGACCAACATTCTTTGGTTAGATCTTGGAGACAGTTGGACAAAGATCTCCACTAAGCTCCCTGAGCACGCACCACCTGTAAACTAATGGCCTTTATAAGAAACATCTGGAGCATAGGTATCATATCAGAAATATCTATTAAAATTTCTAAATGGTTTGCATATTCTGCTTGCAGAAGCTTATTAGGAAAAATTTTCTCTAAAATGTATTATTTTAAGGAAAGAACAGTGTCAATGAAAAGAACCGTTTTTTCTTTGTTGTTTTAGAAGCTTTGAGGCCCTTATTAGTTAGAATACAAATGTGTCCATTGAAATAATCTCTCTTCGTATTGACTGAGTTTGAGACTTCACATGCCGATCTTCCAATGAATTAGATAACAGCTTCTGGAACTTACATTCTGTAAAAATAATCTGAATCCCTTCTTATGATTTCCAGATGTCTTTTTCACCCATCACAAATCACCTGAAGTTTAGCAAAAGATGTTTATGGAGAAACAATCTCCAAGTAACTTTCAAATTTCCTGCACTGCAGTTTCACTCCGCAAGTTCTCCTAAACAACAGAAATCACTATTTATTGCATCAGTGATTAAGCTGTTTCAGCTTAAAAAAAAAACAAAACCAACAGCATCCTATATGGAAAGATTTAAGTATTTAATTCTTGATCTTACCACAATAAAGCAAAAAAGGCTCTCTTTCTTCTAGAGGAATAACAATGTTGCTTATAGCTTAATAGCTGGAGTATTCGAATTCTTAATTTCAAAAACAGAAAGAGTGAGGGAGTAAGAGATGTTTACTTAAAGTAAAGCCTCTCTTTTCACAAAAAAAAAAAAGGAAACCATCTTCTCATGAGTTTCAGAATACAAGCACAGATACAATATACATGTACACCTCACATTCATGGTGTACAAACTGAAGGATACTAGACTGAAAACTGCAATGGCATTTATCATACACCAACAGAACATATCTCCAGCTAAACTCCATGCCTCAGATTTTGCTTTTTAAAAAAGACACCACATTCTAGGATTATAAGGAAGCAAAGCCTATATTAAGAATCATTTGTGCCACTAGTTAACTACTCAGCTTGCTCGGTTTCTTTGATAGTGCAAGGGCACTTCCAAACCCATTTACATGTATATATACTGCCCTTAATTCCTCTCTTCCCACTTCCTTCCCTCAAACCTAGAAAAATCGCTTTCAGCTTTCAAGAGTCACGGAGTTAACCTGTTGTCCAATGAAACATTATTGATAGAAATCTTCAAATAACATTCTCATCAAACAGCTGAGGAACAGGAATAGAAGCACAAAGCAAGTGTTAGTAACACGACCAATACAAACTGCGTGGAAGATTCATTTCATTAAACCCATTGTTGAGAAGCCAATTTAGTACTTCAGCTATCTCTTTCCAAAACAGCATCTGATCCGAAAGAACACTGAACTTTTGTTACTCTTAACACAAAAGCCGTACCAATACATCACCCAAAGCTGAACATAGACTGAGGGGTTGCTGATGCCTCATCCTTTAACTGTAACCTGTTAAGTTAAAGAGATCCTAGTAGACCACTGACTTAATGAAAAGACACCCCCATGAATGCTAAGATACTTGCTCCATGTGGTTCTAAATAAGAGCAAGGCTCCTCTTTAAGTGCAAAGTATGATTTACAAAAAGCAGAGAAATTCTGGAAGGATTTTCTCCTGTAACCTGAGGATAGTGTGCAGGTGGTCCTGATGAAAGCGAGGTGGACAAGGCCTGCTGAGTTGAGGCTCCCTGTGGGAAGCAGATGAAGAGCTGCGACTCTTGCAATACCTTCTGAGGCAGCTGAACAATGGGCAATGAGAAGTCTGAACCAAAAGCAGATGGTCCCCCTGTAGGGGGAGGAGACTGGAAATCGCCAGTGTCAGAGGAAGTCAGCTGTGAGGAATCACTGGAGTATTCTGGGCTTCCTTCTGGCCAGCTCCGACTGGCAGAACCCCCTCTGGGACCTGCTAAATCAGGACCAAGATAGTTATAACGTTCCTCTGTCACGGGCTGAAGCCGACCATGCAACCCTATGCCTTGAGTGGATTCCTCTTGACTGGTCTCCATTGAGCCCCGGCGACTTCTGTAGACCCGCTGGGGTAAAGCCGCCCCTTCTGCCGGAGCAGAACTCGGTGTGTGCACATGGAACTCAAAAACACAGCTTGTTCTGCCATCACCGCTGTGAGAGAGCACAGCTGGGGCAGAATGAGGAACAAATACCTGATGGAACGTCATCTGAGCAGGATCTGCACTCAGAGGAGCTGAAACACTGGATAATGGACTGGATAGGGGACTCAACCCAGCATCCAGCCTCAAGTTCTGAACATGTCTTGCCAGGAATGCTTGCCCCGATTGATAGTCAAACACAGAGCTTTGTGGAGGACCACCTTGCACATGCTTTGAGTCAGAAACCTGCTTCAAATGTTGTTCAGTCACGTGTGAGTTATAAGCTACTTGATCATACTGCTCCGATACCTGTGACGGATAGTGCATGCCCACCAAATATACAGCTTCTGGATGCATTCTGTAGTGAGCATCCTCTGGAGGTGTTGGTCCAGATCTATAGTCACTGTGTACAGGAGCTGGCTCAAACACAGGGTTAACTTGCACATGCAGAGGCTCTCCAGCGACTCTATGAGATGTCGTGCCCAGCATAACCAATGCCTCTGGTGTCCAATTGGTGGGACTACCACCAGGTGGAACTAAACTCTGGCCAGTCTTCAGCAATGGTTGGAAGTGGCAAGTTTGGGCTTCCAAAAATGAAGTGCTCTTGCGGCGCTGAGCAACTGCCACCTTCGGCGGGCAGACAGGTGGTGGTGAGAAAGACACCGGCCGTTCATGAACGGTTGGGAAAAATATCTGTGAATCTGGGAACGTTGGTGTTCCCCCACGCGGATGCTGAGGCTGTATTGACATGAACAAGACAAGTAATTCATACATTAAAAGTGAAAGCACATTAACATGCACAGTTCACTAGGCAGTTCTGTGAAGTAACTTTATAGAATGACTACTCAATTCATGGTCAAAAACATACAATACTTAGGAAAATTAGATGAGTTGTAAATATCCATTAAATACATCCGTGGCAGGCATGTCTACAAATGGAAACATTTGCTTGTGTTAAAGCTGCTTTTCCAGTCCAACTCCAACCACTCAGTAAATGCGAACATTGGTTTTGCTCCTGACAATGGAATGCAATTTATTGTCATGGGCTATTCACTGCGGTCATTGCTTGAAATCCAATCTAACTCCGGACGTTACTGCCATATGGGCATATAAAAAATCAGAACTTGATAGCAGTAACGACGCAGGGCCTCTAACTTGCATCTGGAAGATTAAAATGATATGAAAACTTAATACTATCTAATGTAAAAAACACAGTGCTGGTGTCCTGTCAGGAAGGTGCTCTGTACGGTATCCAGAGAGCTAAACAAAAATGCTTTCCAAGACTGAACCATACCAGCCTACGCATGAAAAAATAATGAAAAGAAAATGCATAAAAATGCAGCGTCTTCAGATTCCATCAAATTCAGTCATCCCTTTTGATCATTTTGATCCATTTGCATCATACCCTTTTCACATAAGAAATTAGCAGTCACTGAAGCAAATCCACTTTTTTTCCTGGACAACAATACATTCACAGGTTTGTCAACAAAAACTTTAAGTGATTCCACTCTTTATGATGTATTACTACAGATTAGGCTCATCTTAGTTAGGATTTCTAGGCAAAATTTCACTGACAAAAGTTCTACATAAGAATACTAAACAATTCAGCAATGCTGCATCTTTTTCATCGCTGCCTACAGTACACTGAAAGAAAATATTGCTGATACTAAAGGAAAAATTGTAAGAGTCAGCAGCAAATGTACTGTCTTGAAGACAAGAGCTACTTTCAACTTTTTCAATTTGCCTTTTGCACATTGTTCCATTTCCTTCCCATCCCTTCTTCCGGAAAAGCAGCAGCAAATTTCCATATTGACCAATAGTAAGAAGAAGGTCCCACTCCAATACTCCTGACTACATTCTGAAAGTTAGTTCTATATACTTCAATTGCAGATAAAAGTTTCTCAAAGCTTATTTTACGTGAATAAAAGCCAAAAACTGAAAGAGGCTATCTTGCAAGCTGTCATGCATCTGACCTTTTGAAACACATGAAAATCTTCCCACCAAGCAGCAGCCGCTAAGGTGGCAACCACGATTAAAATGTAAGACTTCTCAAAAGTATTCATACTCTGAATTTCTACTATCACTATCATAGCAAGCCAAAGCTTCCGGAAAACCAGCCACAACAACTAAGCTTTAAAAGCCGGCTGTTTTGTGCAGGGCTTAATTAACATTCAATGCTTGGAAGTTGGAAAATGAAAAACAGTCTTCTGATTTCAGGGGAAAAGAACTAGTCTTCCCTTTAACTTCTGTGGTATAGCTGAATAATTTTCATTTATACTTTCCTAAAATACACGGTCAAACACTGATCATGTTTTTAAGTGTACGGCTTGTCAATAAACAGTAACAGGAAAAAAAAACAAACAAGCTAGCAGCCCAGAAATGAGGAAGAATCATCTTTTCCTTTTCTCAATTTATAAATGCCTGAAGCCCAGGATGTATTTAATGATAACTTATCTTACTGTGCTGGGAGGCAAATGGTAACACATACAGGACTGACAGAGAGGGAGGGCAGGCTGGAGCGTCGATGCTTGCGTGGAGAGGCAGAGTGCATGGGCAGGACACTTTCCAAGGCTTTAGAAAGCTTTTCTGCAAAGGTTTCTTCAGGGACAGTCCGAAGGTAGAAAGGAGAGAGAGGTGCAGACAGCGCTGGTGGTGGGGTGCAAGGAGCACTGAGAGGGATGCAGGACATAGAGGGAAGAGCAGGAAGGTGGGGAACACAAACTGACATGCTACGACCACGTTGAGGCTAAAGGAGGAAAACAAAAGTTAAAAATTGAACACTTCAAAAAAATTAAAAACAAAACCAGCAAAAATTGTAATGATAGAAAAGAAATGCAGACACACAATGATAGGCCCAATACTGACTACTATGTGTGCAAGAAGATATGAGAATGCTGAATGAATGTTGACATACACCAAGAACAGGATGTGTGCACCTCTGAGGATTCAAGTTTGCTTTAGGTTACTAAACAGTAAGGGAAGTTACCTAGTGCCCTTCTAAGAAGCATGTGGAAGGCAGAACAGATAAGAGAGAATGTTTTCCTTGGAGCCACCAATGTGGCCCACAGTATGTGTGTTCACTACACTTAATAATGTGACAAATAAAAAACCTTAAGTTACTGATGGCCTTTCATTCATTCTTAGTTTAGTGAGTGCATGTGCTCTTACACCTACCACCTCTCTGTAACCAGTCTCTCTGCTTAGGCAACTCCCTGAATGAAGTGAACTAAGAGGTTTCAGCTGGTTCTTTACCAACTAAAATGTTACCTAAAAAATTTTAACATTACACAGTCTACAAAACAGTTGTGGAAAAAGCTGTTTGAATACATGGAAAGTTTAGTTAGATTAGTCTTAGACAAGCATTTTCCAGACACTGAGCCAATACAAGTATCAAGGATTTTGTAATCTTGCCTCGAGACAGAAGGCCATAGGTCAAAATTCAACCCAACTGACAGAATCAGAATTATCTTTCTGTCTGGTTCTTTTTTGTTGTTGTTGTTTAGGCTTTGTTTTTTTGTTGTTGTTGTTTTTTTTTTGTTTTTTTTTTTAGAATGATTGGAAAAATTATGTTTTAGAGAGGCAGCTTTTAAAAACTGAAATATTTCTCTAAAAATACATGCCCCTCTTTTGGATATAATTTCTAAAGATAACTAAAATCAAATACATAACTGAGAAAAAAAATAAAGTCAAGGTATCTAGCAGAGATCTAATTTTAAGTATTTCTGATATGAGAAACCTTAATAGACTGCTCAGTATTTTGAGGAGAGACATCAGGAACCTCAAAGGGTTAAACATCTTACCCTTATTCTTCACTTGGTCCAAGTCAGGACCGGTTCTACATGTCGTTCCTGACAAGTTTATCTAACCTGTTCAGAAACAGCTCCAGTAATGGAGTCTAGAGTAAACAACTGTCCTTTCTGGTTAGAAAAAAATCCTTTTCTAAACAAGAATTCCTTGCTGCAATTTAAGCTTATTATTTTTGTTATATCTGACAACAATGTTGTGATCTGATTAGCCTCTATGTATTTTATGGTGGCCTTTCAGCTTTCTCTATCCTCAAGCTCATCTTCCACAGACTCAGCTCTTTCAGTCAACCCACAAAAACCATGTTTCCTGTATCCTTGGTGTTTTTTGTCACTCTCCTCTGAATTCTCTCCCCATTCACACTCTCAACTTCCTTCATCAGGCAGAGTGTCCAAAATAGACTTAACAATGGCCAAGAAGAGCAGAACTACTTCACAAAACATGATGTTTGTCTTTTTCACAATAGCATGATGTTTTTGACCATGTCCAGCTTGTGGTCCAATATAATCCCTGACTCTTTCTTTTAGTGGTGGAATTGCTGCCTAGTCAGTTGTTGCTCGTCCTGTACTTGTGTAGCTGATTTTTCCTGCTTAGGCACGAAACTTGCTCTCGTCCTGATTGTACTGCATTCTACTTCTTTTAAAGGTTATTTCTCCAGATGTCAATTTCATTTTGACTTGTCATCCTGTCTTCCCAACAAAGTCTTAGTAGTTCTTGTAGCGTTCTACTCCATTCTGTTAACCTTCCGGTACCGCTGTTGTCATCAGAGCACGAGCACATTTCAGGATTTAACTGAGCAGCTTGACTATACATTTGTAGTGTGCTTGTTTTCCCAACCTCTCTCAAAAGGTCATGGTCTTTCAACCTGGAAACTAGCCATCCCAAGGCAATAAATGGCTTCTAGTCCAAGACATACTCACACATCAAAGTATGGCTTAACCAGAGCAGTAACTTAGTTTGAGAGCTTGAAAATTCGTTTGCCCAAGGACTAGCAGTACTACAAAACTACAGGTTATGACTGAAACCAGCATGTTTCCCAAAAATCTAGGAACACCGATTTTGTAATGAAGTCCACAAGCACAGGCAGCAAAAAATTGAGGACTCTTTTAAGTCCTGACTGTCACATTATCTTCCTGTATGGCTTTACCATACTACAAGATATCTCTGCCTTAGGTTTAGATTTTTGTTTAAAAAAACAAAAACAAAACGACAAGGGAACCACTGAAGACAATATAAGAGTAGCAGAAGTTTTACTCCAGTGCTGGAATAGACTTCTGAATGTTCTTGTACTCTGATCTAAAACATACCAAGGGAAGAACGTACCAAAATAAAAGGGCCACACAAATGAACATAGTAGGAGAAGTATTTGTGCCCAGTGCAGACTTTCCAGGGACAAGGAATATGCATGGCAACTGATGAGCAAATCAACACAAGCTAGAAATAATATTGGGAACAAGGATGTGGGGTCCTCAGTCTGGAGTACTCACATGCAGCATTCTATAACAGTTAAAAAGAGCTTACCTGCAGAATCTGTAAATCAAAGCCTCACAGACATACACAGCAATATCACACTTCAAAACAGCAGCTTAAATTATTCTAATCCTTTCTTCAAATCAAAGCAATAGCTAAATATTTGGTAACTTCACATACATACAAAACACCTTCCCAAGTGAGATGAAATGCTCATTTTCATGAGATAGTCTCGTACTGAGGATGTTACATCCATTACAAATCCCAACCTGTCATTCTGCTTAAGTGTACTCAAGATTTAATAAAAACTTTTTTTTTTAAAGAAAAATATTTCCTTTTATTTCATTGAACTAGATTCAGTCACCTTGTAAAATAGGAATTTTAATGCTCCCATGCAGAATTTGTATCGCATGGAAAGCATACATGAAAGAATGCCTAGCAGACTTTCTTCTCGCCTTCAAAAAAAGAAAACAAAAACAAAACAAAACAAAACAACCCTCACAACTAAATAATTCCATGCATTTGCAATACTTTTAAGTTCTGGCTTACCACTGTAGGTGGCTGATATCCTCCATGCTGTTGTGACTGCACTTGGCCAACTGAAGCCGCATACCCCTGGACTGCAGCTGTTGAGATTGGCTGGTCATGCTGGGAACCATACGACACAGTCTGCTGACTGCTCACACACGATTCAGTATAAACAGATGACCCTTGGCCACTGTCAACTGCTCCATCAGCTACAGAAAATAAAGACAAAAAGAACTGCAAGACTGGATTCATAATTCAAGTATTACTATCAAATATTAGACTGCATTTGTGTCACATCACAATGACCTTATAAGCATTTTACCCCTTCTAATATTTACAATGGTGCAAAAACCATGAGTTTTCTTTTCTCCAATATACTAAGTAACTCCCTACCAGTAAGCCTTCCCCTAGCTTCTGAAAAACAGTCATTTCAGGAGTTCTTTGGAAATATACTTGCCAGTAAATTATGCTCCCTATTAAATGCTGAACTAGAAACAAAAACCTAAATTCTACTTTGTCATGAATGATGTTTCAGGCTCACTTATTGTCTTGTTTTGTTTGCTTTTCACTTTTATTTTATTTTTCATGAAAGCAGAAAACAGGTCAATTGTACTAGCTGGCAGATGCAACTAAAATAAGCATAACAAAGAACTTAAAATCTCTACTACCTTATAACAGATCATAATTTGCTTGCTAACTTCTGACATGGAGCTTCTCATTTAATATCATTATTCAGATACTGATTCTAACATTGGGATGGCAGGAGAGTTAGGCGTGTTAACTTATGTGCTCGTGTTTAGTATGTAGAACAGGCAGTGATTTTTTTCAGAAACAGAACCATGATCTGAAATACCTGCATCATTTTTGTCTTAAAAATATTAAGGCAATTCAGATTCCAGACTCCCTAAGGGCAGGTGAAATAGTGTAAGTGCAAGAGTTCCTAAAGAAATCAACTGACACACTTACAAAGAATAGATATACTGGGTTGCTGGAACTGCAGTTGTTGGTGTTGATCAGCTTCTGGTTCTTCAGGCTCCACTTGAGTAGAAACAGATGCTGAAGTAGTGGGGACAGGAGTAGTACCACTGACAGATACGGGATGCTTTGACCCTGCATGGGAAGCACTTGAGGGTTGCTGTTGCTCCAGCTGCTGCTTCTGACTACCTTCTTCCTGAAGCTTCTTCTCCTGTTCTTCTCGCACCAACTGACGCTGCTCTCGCTTTCGCTTAATCAAAGATACCCTGTCCTTGATAGCTTTCGCCATTGTCTTGTGATCCCCTTCACAGACATAGCCAGATTCCACCTGAAGGAGGATATATTCACAGAATTCAGACTGTCATAGACAGCCACTATTGTGCTACAATATAGGCTATCACTCTCTTGCACTAACTTCTCATTCACAGACTTCTGAAGCAGTTTTATTTCTAGACAGTAAGAGTAAATGCAAAGGCTGACAGATGACATCTGACTGTCAAAGAATGCTATTACCTTCAATGTTTTGCAAGACTGCCACCACTTACCATTTCCTGTGCCACATCCTCTGGGACATCTCTCTCCAAGTCAAAGGAAAACTCTATTGCCTCATTATCTTTATATTTGCCCTTAAGTTTTTTGATGTCTTCAATTCGCAGCCAGAGTTTAATGGCAATTTTTTCTCCATCATCTTCCTCTGCTAGCTCTACCCGTACTCCAGTCTCTTCTTGGAAGAAAGCATGATTCAAAAGGTCCTTAATAGCATATCTAGCAGATTGGAAAACAATGTGGAGAGCACATACACCGTTAGGTTTTCATCAAATATTAAGAAATATCCTTGCCTGACAACCTACCAAATTTATCATCTACATTTCATGCCTCCTCTCCTTAACCACTTGACAGCTCATCATGCAAATTTCTATCTAAAAGTATGATGAAGGAATAAAATGCAACAGCTCTATATATTTAGGTAAAAAAAAGTCACACATTGGTTAGCAGAAGTGCCCACTGCCTAAAATTACAAGCCTTGAAGGGACAGTTCGGTTTTACTGAAGATCCAACACACAACTCTTAGTCCCCAGATCAGTTCAGCAGTCATAAAAGCTATTTCAGTCTATTTAAAGATATTGACAAAAGTCTAACCTAGTTAATTCAGCACTAGTGAAGCACCTTTCATATTCTGTACTGTTTTCAACCATTTCAACTTGCACAGTTTTCCACAGTTACCTTTGTCCAGAAAGTACAAAAACATTAGCAATATATTCTTATATTCACAGAGTGTAGCAGTAGTCTGAAAGCTAACTGGTTAAGATAAAAGATAAGGAACAAGTGCCATGCATTCAGAAAATTAGTTCAGAAATGGAAATATACATAATTGCTTTAAACATTTAAATTTGAAGTCCAAAGTACACAGCAACAGCATTAGATGTAAAACTCCAAGAATTAATAGCAGACAACTCTACACTGACAGAACAGGCTCAGAACAGAATAGTGAAGAGCTAGAAAAAGACAGAAGATTGAAGCATTCTTAACCCCAACAATCTACATAAAAGCAACTACATAAAAGCAAAAAAAAAAAAAACAAAAACAAAACCAAAATCCATTAATAAACCATTAGAACAGCTACAGATTTTCTGCAATGGTCTAAGCTAATCACTTCAAGCCAAAATAATCTTGCAGAAAATTTGAATGTAAACAAACATCAATAACTTCAAAAATAAAGAGCCCTCAAGATAATTAGCTATAAATGCCAACGGAATCAAAGGGACTGAAAAGGAAAAAAGAAAAACAAAAAACCCAACAGAGCTACAGAGTAAGGAATCCCATTAATCCCATTAACTTGGAAAGATCATCATATGCTATTTTACTGATTAGATCAAAATTTTAGTAAGAACAGTAGAACTTCTGAATAACATGGATGGTTACTACAGGATTTGCACTTTGCCTTGCACTAATGCAGTAAAACAAGTGTTAAATGAGAACCTGCCAGAGAAAGAACCTGCAGAAATAATATTCATTTTCTAACTTGCATCAGATCCCAGCAATTAACTGTATCTAGTATTAACGAGTTACAGATTCAGACAAAAGCAATATCTCTATCAGTACGGGAAAGAAAGCTTACCTTTCGCCTTTGTTTTGCCGAATGCATCCCTCAATAATCTCCTTCACTTCAGGGATCGCTACTTTATCAAAGCTGGCGGGCTTGACACCCTGAAACATACAAATAAGAAGAAAAATCTGGAAGGCTCACTTGACTTAAGTTTTGTTTGTGCAAATATTCACTTACAAACCGACTGTTTTTATTCAACATGTACCTTGGCAGAACTCCCCACTAGTGGAGGTTGTAAGGAAATCTACCCCCAATATTATTGTTCATCTGTTTCCTAGTGACTTTTTCAAACGTGGATTTTTTTCCAGCATTTCTTGATTAGACTTCCATGACAGAAGGTTTCAACAGTTAGGTGCCAGGCTATAAGCATAAGCTTACCGTTTCATTTTTGTCTACAGAAGGTATGATGATCAGAGGAAAAAATGTTTCCTATTGAACACTACCGCAAGAACCCACAAGATTGACTTCAAGAGTCTTTAAAGGATTCTGCTGCTTCCCAGAAAGTTCCTAACATGCCATTAGATGAAGTAATTTTGGCAGAATGATTTTATGGGAAAAACAATAGCTCAGAATGATCAGACTGGATCATTATATAACGTGAATAGTGTTTAAAAAAGAAGAATGGGAAAGGAAAAAAAAAATCTTTACATCTTAGCTCTTCTCAAATCTAATAATTTCAAACCATGCTCTTGTATGATTGCTGTTGTGAGTCCAGGAAAGTGAGCTTCACAATACACACCTTTCCAAAAGCCCTTCAAGAATGTATGATGATTCTTTCTTCAGTACATGTTAAAGCCATTGGGGACAGATAGAAATAAAATCTAAGTGCAAGCAACTACTCATTTCAGTCAAGTAACTAGACCACGAGGTTTGACCAGTTGGGAATTCTGCAGAACGCTGCAGACACAGAAAGCCAAACTCCATCACTAAATCATGGCCAAGAGCTCTTTTTCAGGGGGCAATTGTCCAAACCAGCAAGACTTGGCGCTCAGTTTTACTTGATTCAGCCTTTAGCTTCAAATTCTGTATTTTAAGATGGAAGAAAGCAAGGATGGAGCCACCTTGTTCAAATGTTGTTTATGTGATGTGCCCAAACTTTCAAGTCAAACAATCCTGAAAATCAGTATAATTTGATGCACAGTAACATATAGTACTGAGATAGCAACATATAATATTAATTACCACATACACTGGACACATCTGAGCCTGTGTAACTGGTGAATCATAAGTAAAAAAATGAAAGAAACAGACTCAAGGACAAATACAAATGAAGAAACAATACAGACAGCATGATCTGTGTCTTAATGAGGAAGTATTTCTCTCAGTGTACCATTAGATATCCCTTCTCACCCAAGTGGAATATGAAAATATAGCACTTCTTTACTGTCAGTGCAAAGGAAGCCTTGAAATGTAAAGAGTCAAGTCTCTCAACCAGAGCCTTTGCAGCTGCAGACTTTTATTTAACTGAACGTTGACTTAATACAATAGTAATTTTTATCTACATTTAGATATTGTTTTTCTTGGCCAAACATGGCAGCATATTGATTTCATGTGTTCACAACCTAAGACATTCCCTACCATGCTCTTCCACGAGAGGGCACAGTTTACTTCAAACATATGCAAAAACAAGACTGGGAGAGCATAGCATCCAGTCTTTCAGTGAAGAACCGCACTATTTGTCATTGTGCAAAGGTGTTGTGAAAGCATCTGAAATTTGGTGATCACATCCAACATTTGAAGAGAAAGGAGAAGAACCATAGAAAGACACAGATCTTTCCCTTAGTAGAAACCTCCTGTTACAACAACATTCTCAATTTTCTACTTAGAAGCTCTGAAATTTGTCCCTATGACATTTCAGCAATTGAGATTACAGAACTGAGGAGCGTACTGCAACAAGACTAAGATCTGAAACACAGCCTGTCAGCGTACGTTAATTTAACACTAAAAAGCTTCAGTGAAAGTAAGACTTCTGGAGATAAATGCCTCAGCTGATAGCAAGTTTGCCTGAGTACACTACAATACTGTAGCCAGGTCATACCACAAATCTCCCGCTTTCCAGCAGGATGCCACAAAGCAATACACTCAGTGAATTTTATTAAACTGCTTTTAGCATTTACTGCTTGCATAGAATGCCTGTGTATTTGTCTCTGCTCACATGGCAGATACACCCATCTTTTAATATGTGGCTGAGCTTAAAATAGTCCCAGGAATTCAGGTTCATATGTGCACAGAATGAAATGCTCACTTATATTCATGTATACTCAGATAATCTGTGCAATAGTTATTTGCCTGGCTGTTGTATAGATTTGTATCTAAATTTGCCAGAGAAGTTGTCTAAAATTTAAACTTATTTAATACTCCTAAGCAGCCCAACTTCCAGCCATAGCATCTGCCCACCTGCACGCTCATTTACAACGGCAGCAGAAGGAAAGTGTCGGATCTGTGGCACTATCTTATTTTAGAAAACCTAAAAACTAAGATGAATATAAGACAAAAAAGCATTAACATAGGGAAACCAGAACATGAGCCTTCTTGGTGACTATTTGACCACATGCCCTCTTCTTGCACAATGCCTGAAGAGAAGTAGCTAAGAAAATGTTTTTAAATCAGGGACTCAGTCTGCTACTCTGTATACCTCTATCCTGAAAGATGTTAAGTAAACGAACAAAAACTTCAGGACCTTCCATGAGGGCCACCTTATAGTACTCCATTTCGTGAATTAAAAACAAAAACAAAAAAACAGTTAAGAAAAAAGCTCTCCCCAGCCAAGTCTTTCGCCACCATAGCTTCCATAATTCTGAGGTTTCCCTCAGAAAATCTCAGATACATTCACACTGGGACCTAAAAGTAATATAGGATTGGGTGTTCAAGCAGCTGCCTTTCTCAGCTTCTTCCAAAGTCAGTTAGAACTGCCTAAACTGGTCAAGAATCCCTTAAACCAAAGTTCAGACTATGCTCAGCTCTGAAAATCAGTTTTTCTTTTCGACTGCCAAAAGTGAAAGACCACTTCACATAACAAGACAGAAGATGGTATTAATGGCAATCAGTAAATCAATGATCCTTTTCTACACAGAGATGTCCTTCCCTTGTAATCATGCCGTCACAGAGAAACCAGAGGGGGACCCTGTGATTCAAATAACCTTCATGTGTCCTTAAAAGCTCATGAGCTGTGCAGCCAGGCATACTTTCATTAGATTCTGAACCCAAAGGCACTGTAGTCCTCACTGTTTCCTGGTTTTAACACTGCACACTTACTGCAAAATGGCCTCATTCACACATTTTCTCCCCAGTCCCCAAATTGCTCAGAAAAATCATAGGACATTTTTTTTTAATCTATTTGTTCCACTGTCCACTGGAAATTCAATCAGAGTTAAATACCCAAATACTATTATAAACTGTAATTTATAAATTTGTTAAGGAAGTGAAAGGAAGAGCTCTTGCAGACTAAAAACTTGTAACTAGGTATAACAAGTACATTTTCTCAAGCTATTATCTACATCATCATACACTGACATGGCTGCTGAAAGCAGCAGCATCCTGTTTCTCCATCTCCCATTCCCACATGCCTGTCATTTCCTCCCTAAGGCTGGCAAAAGCATTTACACAGCTGCATAATGAACCAGATCATGGTGTTTAGCAGACTTGAAACAAACTCAGCCAAAAAAGCCTGCAGTGGTTTCCAGTGAGACCAAGATCCCCAGCCTGGTTTGCTGCATTGTTGCAGTAGCGCCCACACTTGCACACGAAGTACAAGTGTTGCAGCTGATGTGAGCACAACCGTGTCTCTTGAAAACAATGCTAAGAAAGTAGAACCCACCAAACATTTCAGGAAGGCATCCAAACCTTTACAATGTTGGTGTACATACAGGCAGCGCAAAACACAACTTAGGCAAAGCTGAATGCTTTATTAGTACTTATCTTAGTCTTCATTTAAGTACAGGAGATTATCACAAGGAAGACAAGTGAAATGTAAGAAGTTTGTGATTTTAACAGGTTTAAATCAGGTTTAAAAAAAAAAAAAACACACACAACTGAATTTGAAAATTGCAGCAGCCACATTTGTATGGTTATACGATCCGCTAAAAGCGAGCTCTGTACTCTTAGAAAATTATACATTTTCAAGCTTTTAAACATGAGAACTCCCCTTAACAACTTTTGCCTAGAAGTATGTAGTAGTATTTTACATGAGTTAGCACACCAAATAAATGGATAAGTAGATTATCATCTCACTCTAATTCAAAATATACTGACAATATTGCAAGAGAAGGTACAATCAGTGCTTTTTACACCATGAAAATAGTATACACAATGTCAACAAGCCCTGAGAACTTTTAAAAAAAAATTTTAAACAGTTCAATGGAGAGCAACACAAATTGGCAATAGCAGGAGCTAAGTGTTCTAGCTACTCTGAATAGGATTTGAATATTCATTAGGAAGTTGGAGGAAAAGTACAACCAAGTTTAAAATCTAAGGGCATTCCAAGCAAATACAAAGCAGCTCACACTTGTTAATAAATCTGATTCACTACCCCCAAATCCTTTACTGCTCCTATGCAATTTTTCTAGACTTGACATTCTCACCTACCTCTTTAGTGCAATCCTTGTGAGAGCAGCAACAACAGTGGGAATTAACAATTACAAATACGGGACCGACCTCCCTTTTTGTAAAATCCATCAGGAAAAGAGAGACTTGCACACCAGCGTTAGTTGGGTGCGAGTTTCCGATGGGAATCCCTCAAGCTGTGGGTTTAACGCACAGCAGAAGGAAAGCAGACATCGAAGTTAGAAGGGAGCATTGTTTTTTCTTTGACTCCTCTTGTACTCTTCCAAGTGCAGTTCATGAGGCTGCAGAGATTCAAGCTTAATATCGGCTTTTATCACTCAAATTCTGAATAGAAATAATGACTATAAGAGGTGAGCTCGTCCTTTCCAGCCTGTCCAGTTGGTCGCAAGGAGGAGGAAGAGAAGGCAGCACAGAAAGCCTTTACTTTCTACTTGTCTCCGCCTCCCCATTGAGCTGCTCTGCCTATTCTCCACCTGTTTTCTGCCATAGTTTAAGGCTGTATGCAGGAACATCACCCAATTCCCCCCCCCAGCTGTGG